CAGTTGGGGGCAACCCCAGGCCTGCAGGGGAGGACAGTTGGGGTGACCAGGCCGGCAGGGGAGGGCAGTTAGGGGCGACCAAGCTGGTAAGGGAGGGACGTTAGGGGAGACCGGGCCAGCAGGGGGAGGACAGTGGGGGCAACCCCAGGCCTGCAGGGGAGGACAGTTGGGGTGACCAGGCCGGCAGGGGAGGGCAGTTAGGGGCGACCAAGCTGGTAAGGGAGGGACGTTAGGGGAGACCAGGCCAGCAGGGGAGGGTAGTTGGGGGCAACCCCAGGCCTGCAGGGGAGGACAGTTAGGGGCAATCGGGCCGTCAGAGGAGCAGTTAGGCGTCGATCAGACTGGCCGGGGAGTGGTTAGGGGGGGTGATCAGGCTGGCAGGCAGAAGTGTTTAGGGGCAATCAGGCAGGCAGGCAGGCAGGCAGGAGAGCGGTTGGGAGCCAGCAGTCCTAGCGGGCCTCAGCTGGGCTGAGGGACACACACCAACCCCCCATGCACAAATTTTGTGCACCGGGCCTCTAGTATGTCTATAAAAGAGCAAAGTGCAAACTTTAACCATTTTTCAGGTAGAAAAATTGAGAATGTGAAAATGGAAAGTGACTTTTTTAGTAGTTTGTTCCTGTGATAACAGAATTCCTTTTTAGTCTGTTTTACCACCTTAGTTTCTAAATATTTGGGCCATTTGCTGTGATACTGAATTTAGTTTAGTTCACCATTGCTCACGCCTTTTTATGAATTGAGATTTTATTTCAAGACTTTGGACTGAACTTGGAAAGTACATGTCTTTTGTTTAAAGGTTGAACTTGTTCCAGTATGTGTACTCAAAGGTTTCAGTCTATTCTATGCATTGGGTGCCAGGAAGAGATTATATGTCTCTTGTTTTTATCTGTATCCTTTTAAATCCTGGAACAGAGGCAAGAAAAGACATTTTTATCAGTACTTTGATGATGAATTTTAAAACTCTGAGTCTGGATAGATGTCAGAGTGACCTTTCATTTTGTGCTTGAGTACAAGTTAGATGGCCAGAGAAATCTGTCCCGTGAGAAGTGCACAAGAGTGTGAGGGGTTAGCCAGGAAAAGAGTATTCAATAATTTTTCTTGTATTTGATGTTTTTCAGGGCAATCTTAAAGACATTTTCAGTCAAAGCTTTTCAGGGGTAGGGATGTTTTTAATTAACTTCTACAATGGCTTCAAGGCAAGTCTATTCTTGTGAAAAATAAGATGGCCTCTTGAGATTTCAGTGTTTATGATAAATAAGTTTGTTCTTTATAACTATTTTCCCCCCTTTCTTTGATCAGAAAGCTCTTAGATTTCCCTCATGCTGGCTGGTGGTGACACAGGGACATAAAGGGTGCAGAAGCCTTCAATCAGGCTTTACTATACCACCTGGCACAAAATAAGCACTCAATACGTATCTGAATGAATGAATGAGCTACCTTTAACCTAAGGGAGAACCTCTTTTTCCATGAGTCCTGCATATTTAGGAAGCCCTGAAGGAGGAGGTCTCCCTCAGGTGCTTTAGTTGAGAGAGTTCAACAGCCACTGCCTTGTGAACTGTGTGGAACCCACAAGAAAAACAGCCTCCAACCCAATTCTGGCACTGCTAATGCCTTCCTGGTGCTTATTGACGATCTGTTTTTCCCCTTTCTTTGCTCTAGTGCAGTGGTTCTCAACCTCCTAATGCCGTGACCCTTTAATACAGTTCCTCATGTTGTGGTGACCCCCAACCATAAAATTATTTTCGTTGCTACTTCATAACTGTAATTTTGCTACTGTTATGAATCGTAATGGAAATATCTGATATGCAGGATGTATTTAGGCGACCCCTGTGAAAGGGTCGTTCGACCCCCAAAGGGGTTGCAACCCACAGGTTGAGAACCGCTGCTCTAGTGAGTCATTGTATGAATTTAAAATAATATAGAACCATGCATGTCATTCATTCATTTGTTCATTAATATAACATTTATTAACCACCTATAGTGTGTCAGGCAGTGTAGATACAAAAAAAAGTGATCTCTATTCTCGAAATCTATATCATTATGGAAGACAAATAATTAGTTTCTCTGTAGTATTATGATTCTGCCATCATAAAATAAGGACAGGGCTCTAAGAGAACAGACTATCTGGGATCAGAGTTTGTTTTCCAAGAGAAGCTCTTTTGATGGCCTCTAGTGAAAAGTGTGTGATATATTAAGTATGTACATATTTTCATGAACTTATAAAACATATACTTTACCAATTTTTAATCATGTGCATTATAGTAGAAAATGGGATTAATAGAGCTGATTATTCAGAGCCTTCTAGTGCTATCCATTACTCTCAACCTCTTACTTTGGCACATCATTTATTCTTTCTGACAATAGGGAGCAAGGTTGACTGGCATGAGTTTCATTCTGTTTCACTTTCTATGTATAATCTTTGTGGTATCAGCTGTAATGAACACTCATGTCAGGTAGTTATTTGTGGGGAGAAGAGATATGGGTAATCCATTACATGTCAATTGATATCCAATGTGTAGTGTAAGGGAGAAGTATACATTTTAAATTCACCTTTATTGATATGTTTTATGTATACAGCTCAGTTCATCCTATATAATAAAAGGCTAATATGCAAATCAACCAAACAGCAGAACGACTGGTCGCTATGACGTGCACTAACCACCTGGGGGCAGATGCTCAACACAGGAGCTGCACCTTGGTGGTCAGTGCGCTCTCACAGGGGGAGCACCACTCAGCCAGAAGCCGGGCTCACAACTGGCAAGCACAGTGATGGTGGTGGGAGCCTCCCCCGCCTCCGCAGCAGCGCAAAGGATGTCTGACTGCCGGCTTAAGCCTGCTCCCTGCAGAGAGCGGGCCTAAGTCGGACATCCTCCGAGGGCTCCCAGACTGTGAGATGGCACAGGCTGGGCTGAGGGACCACCCCCAAGTGCACGAATTTTGTGCACTGGGCTCTCTAGTTCTGAAATAATAGACATTAATTACTATTTCTATCTCTCACATTCCTAAGACATTGCTAATTCTACCTCCCACCCGGTGACTTTCACCATTGGTCATTTGGAAGAGGGCTGGGAACTCCATTTTGTGCGGTTTTGAGCACCCAAGACAAGTTTTGCCCCAAATAGGACCTTTTTGACAAGTCGGCAGAATTCACTTGTTCCTCTGATCTAAGGAACTAAGGATTCACTGAGCTGAATTATACCCATGGTTTTTAGATAAGCGGTTAATTCTCTTCTTATGCCTGTACAGCAGGTTCACAAATCTAATCATTAATAGTAGACTTAAGCTTATATATATTAGGCCTGAATAGATATGTGGATAGATACACATACCCTTACACACTAATCTCCATTTCTGTTCACTGAATTGGGAATCTGGATTTTGTGTATTCATGCATAAAGTGCCTAGTTTAGTGTCATATAAACTCTGTTACACAATAAATGTTAATTGAATAGAAATAATGGCATTCCTTATAAATATTGATAAACAAATAAAACTAAATGTATGGAGTATGAAGTATTCTTGTAGAAATATTTGAGTTAAAATGATTAAAAGTTTGTGTGGTGATTTCATTATGTGACAGTGTAAGTATTGCAGGAGCTAGTCACTAGTTGTAGACATGGTGTTCTGGGGGAATATATATATGTGTGTGTGTGTACATATTATATAGATGCATATATCATTTAATAAAAGATACATTTTACTACAGACTATGTCTTTTAAGCTAATAAAAATTATCTAGCTACATGGATGGGTGAAATTCACTTGTAACAGAAATCTTTGAAGCCTTTCTGTGGCTAATAATACTTATGAGGCACCTTCTAGTCAAATAGACTGAAGCATAAATGATACAGCAGAGCCTGACCTGGCCTTCTACCATTGGGGAAAGAATAGAAGTCTCTTTAGTGCATTGCTGTTTCTCAACTTAAATACTAGAGCACTGCTCAGACTGGCGTTAGTTGACATACTTCATTTCTGAATATGTGGGATTCAAATCACTTTAGAAGGAAAGCATTGTCAGTCTGTCTCTGAAATATGAAATTTACACTGTGCTTTCCTATTGATTTCAACAAATCCAAAAGTGAAAGCAGCCAGTGGTGTACAGTTGGCTACATACCAGTTTTGTAGTTGGTTAATTTGTAGAGAGGTGAGAGCACCATGTACTCGATGTTAAGAAGCATATCCGAGCTACTCAACCCACCAAAAATGTGTTTCAAGAAATAACTTTTATTTAAAAAAGCCCTTCTAGGGTGCTCTCTGATGTTTTTCTCTGTCTCAACGCCTCATGCCATCCTCTTTTTCCTGCAGATCATGTTTCAGGCATATGGAGACAAACAGGGACCACTGCATGGAATGTTAATCAACACTCCCTATGTGACCAAAGACCTGCTTCAATCAAAGAGGTTCCAGGCACAGTCCTTAGGGACAACATACATATATGATATCCCAGAGATGTTTCGACAGGTAACGGTGGCTAACTGGGAGGCTCTGACCTATTCTAAAGAGGCAAGGTTTTCTTGACTCTCCATCAGATGCAGCTTAGAATGGAATGATGCACTCCTAAAGGGCAGGAAATATCTTGACACTATTCTCATTTTTATTTTATTTGGGATTTGGTGACTGCCAACTTAGATTTGGGGTGGTTCTTTGTGAATTAACAGGAGAAATAGTGAGGATCGGAACCTCTATTGAGTAGATGAGAGTAAACTGAGACTGCATGCCTGTGATGGTAGTTTATAATGACCTGTGTGAGGAGTTATGTTCAGGTCTATATTTCCTAAGCCTGTATTCAAATTATGGATATTAAAGAGGTTGGAAACTCTAGTTCTCATTTTTCTGTTTTCCAAGATAACCAAGTCTCTCTAGCTCATTGCCTAGATTAATATGATGAGAATCAATATAGATAACATATACAAATATATGATATAGAGTTCATGGTACACAGTTTAAAGTATCAGTTCTTTTGTGGGAGATTTATTATAGCTGAATAAAAACTAGCATGAGAAAATATATTATGAATCTTATCCTCTATATCAGCGGTTCTCAACCTGTGGGTCGCGACCCCTTTGGGGATCGAACAACCCTTTCACAGGGGTCACCTAAGACCATTGGAAAACACATATATAATTACATATTGTTTTGTGATTAATCACTATGCTTTAATTATGTTCAATTTGTAACAATGAAAATACATCCTGCATATCAGATATTTCCATTACGATTCATAACAGTAGCAAAATTACAGTTATGAAGTAGCAACGAAAATAATTTTATGGTTGGGGGTCACCACAACATGAGGAACTGTATTAAAGGGTCACGGCATTAGGAAGGTTGAGAACCACTGCTCTATATGAAAATAAATTCCTTTGATCTGTATGGTGAATCATCTCTGTGCTGCAGATTTTTCTTCCATCAATAGAAGGCAAGAAAAGTATATTACCAGCAAAAAATGCAGCAGATAAAAAATAAGGTGTCAAAAGAATACTGAATTTGTCCTTTAAAAAAATCTATGAATAAAGGATTTTTCCAAATTTCCTAGTTAATACCACCAGTATTACCATATTTAAGTTTTACTAAGGTAATATATGTGGCCTTGGTATATAGTCTATCTGTAATTCCTGTATTATTCACAAATACAAGAGATTTCCTTATGTAACTACTTATTTACAAGTTCTCTCTGTTGAAATGTAGCTACCATCATTCAGTATCACTGGCATTGTTAGTCTAAAAGTTGAGTGTTGGTTCTCTTTCCCCATGCCAATGCTATAAGTAGAAATCACATTCTATATAATTCTTCCTGTAGAATAGACATAAGCATAGTGATGAGGACATCTAAATATGAATGAGTCATATTGTCTTTAAATGTTGCTTTGAGGTAAACAGAAACAACTAGTTCCCATTTCATGAGGCACTTGTTTTGATAATAGGAAGTTGGAAATGGAAATCATGATGGTTTCTAAATGGGTAAGTGTAGCTATCTTTTTCTCATATTTGAGCAGAATTGACATGTGCATTTACAAATAGTCATACAACTACTGAGCAACACCGGCCAGGGCAATAACAAATATATTTTAACTGAGAATAACCAAATCTTTTCATTTTTATATATGTTGAAATTCTAATTGTCATTGATTAGTAAAACTTCTCTCCTCCACTAGTCCCTGATCAAACTCTGGGAGTCTATGTCCACTCAAGCATTTCTTCCGTCACCCCCTCTGCCTTCTGACATACTGACCTACACTGAGCTCGTGTTGGATGATCAAGGTCAACTGGTCCACATGAACAGGCTACCAGGAGGAAATGAGGCAAGTAGTTGAGTTCCCTTCCCCCCTTTCTTAGTTCAGTGCCAACCAGTATCAACTTTTCATGGGATGGTCATTAAATGGTGTTAATTCAGATCCAAGTAGTAGGCAGTCTTATTGGTAGAATTCTTTAGAGAGAGAACATTAACTGGTTATTACAGAATTATTGTTTAATTTTGTAGGTGTGATAATGATACTATTTTATTTAAAAATTGATATTACAATTTTGTTTCCTTAAGTATTTTTCTATTAAATATACATACTAAAATAACTACAGATGAAATGATCTGATATATAGAATTTACTTCAGAATAATGGGAGGTGAATGTGGGAATATGGATGAAACAGGATTGGCCATGAGTTGTTAATGAAGCTAGATGATAGATACGAAATAGATTATTTTCTCACTTATTGTATATGTTTGAAATTTTTGACATTTTCTATAATAAGAGCATTTAAAGTACTGTTTTTTGTGTAATGTTTTTCTTTATTTGGATATCTATTTTATGCTCAGGTAATTTGATCTGATGCTATTGTGAGCATGGTAAATATATTCTTAAAGGGACTCATTCAGAACCAGGGGTTTCAACATAAAATAAAGTAATAGAGAACCCATTGCTTATAGTTATTCAAGAATGCATTTTCTAGCCTTGGAGACCTTTCTCCTATTGTGCACTACTAATAATGATATAAAGTCATATTCTGCCCAATACCCTATGTCCAGCAATGATAATAGTCATAAACCTAAAAAAATATATGTTTTTATTTCAACCTTAGATAATAATCCTAGAAAAATCTCCTTCCTTAGAAGGAGTAATCTTTACCTGGTGTTCACCATAAACACAGGCTGGGTAGACCTTTGGAGATAATATGCAATTGTTTTCATTTTATGCAGTATATTATAAAAAATGTTCCTATACGTACAAGGTGTATGGCTGTTTCAGTAAGTCCACCAGAGGATGCCAAAGTAGATGATTTAGTATTAAGATGGATGCAATCAAGGACCAGATGGAGAGTATCAGACTTGTAGGAGTTCTTTTAATCTAACAACTTGAAATAGAAAAGACAAGAAGCTAGGGAGGAAGGATGCATAGAATTTTGACAAGAGTAGGTATATACTCATTAGCACACAAAGTTGAAGTAGACGTTTGTGCCGCTGTGTGTAGCATGTACTCAATGAGCCCCTCAAGAGCAGAGAAAAGCTTCATTGTGCTAGACTTAAATTCTTCTTCATTGAACAGTGTCGTCTTTAGGAACAGAAGGCACCCTTGTGAACATGTAGCTGAGAAAAACGGTTTTAACTAATGTAATTAAAACACAAAACGAGATTTTTGTCCACGTACAAGCTAGCTGCAGTGCTATTTGAAACCTCTTGCCATGATCTTTCTCTCTTGCTTTCTCTCTGCTCTCATTCTGTGTTTGAGCGAATGGAGACTAGGGGAATAGTGAAGTCCCAGAGGGACAGAGCTCTGTTCTTGCTGAAATTACAAGCACAGAGCTGCCTGGGCATGAACATGTAGTGTTTACTCTGCCAGTATGAATACAAATAGTCTTATTATACCGGACTCTGTACCCAAAGACCACACACACACACACACAAGAATAAAAAAAATTAAAGGTTTGTTTTAACCCTTTTAAGACCCAGCAAACCTTGATGGAAAAGGGATGTCTTATACTATCACTGGAAATAGCAAAGTCAGTGTAGGAACCATGTTTACCTTTGCCCAATGCTTTAACAATCTTGAAATCTAATAGTAGTAAACATTTTTTTTCTTTTTGTCAGTTCTCACTTTCTTCTTCTATTCTTTTCCCTCCTTAGTTGCCTATTTTCTCTTTTCTTCAAATGATTGACTAGAATTGAGGCTGAGCATTAGCTCGCTATTTCTGAGTCTTTGAGCTCAGGAGGAGTGAGACCAATGTTCTTTTGTGAGCAGTTAGTGACTAATGCCTGGGATGGCTGGTGAAGTCAGTCAGTGGCCATAGCTAGATTATGGGGCACTGCATGACAGGAATGAGGTTGGGGTATCAGTATCAAATTCTGTTACCAATAGCTTGAACATACAATGGAGCATGTCCACTGAGAGACCAATCTAAAGATGAAGTTTCAGCAGTCAGAACTCTGAGGGACAGCTCTGCCTAAGAGAAGACGCACTGTCAATAGGATGTATTTCCTCATGCCAAGCCCAGTGTTATCAGGGCAAGTTGACTTCCAGCTATTGCAGTTTAATTTTCTTTGGCCAAAGAGACAAGTTTGTCATGAGCCTGGCACTCTACATTTTACCCAAGAATGATGTGAGGAGAAAGAAAAGAGCTCATGCTGATGAGATTTGGAGCAAATCTCTCCTGTCCCACAGAGGATGGGCATCTGAACAGAGACTTGAGAAATTGTTTTATTAAAAAAGGAATAAAAAATTGACCTGTTAATGTCCTGAGAGCCAAGGCTCAATGTAAATGCATTGATGCTACATAGACATTAAATCATTATAATGTGGTGTTCTCTAAAGGTGACGGCTCTACCAGGTCATCATTGTGGGTGATATTGCATTACCTTGAAGGATTGGAGTTTCAAGGTTTAAATGCTACCACATGGATATAGGAATAAAAGTAAAACAAGAGATTCCTGCAGAGTTTCCCAGGAATTGAGACGCGTTTCCCCATAATCAGAGGCAGAAAACCTACACTTATCAGACCATTGGCTATATGTGTGGCCAGTCTTCCTTATTTTTTTTTCCAGGACAGTAAATGGGTAAAATGGTGATGGGTCCAGGAGTTGGAACAATTCAGTTCCATTTAGTTTTAGGTAACTTGTTTGCCATTTGAGGAAGAATATTGGCTGTTTCAGCAGAGATGTGACCTGCATTTTGAACACTGTGCCCATGTTAAAAGCAGGAGAAACAGTTCTTTTCTGACGTGGTATTAGCTACGTTCTCCTTTCTATTTTCCTAGCTGTCCCTCCGCCATCAAGAAAGGTGTAACTGAAGGAATGCCACTATGCATGATGAAAGTTGTAGGAGAATACATTTTTCTCATTGTCAGATTTGAATGGCATTGCATTTAGTATGAATTTAGAGTAGGAATAAAAGAGATTCAGCCCGAATCTGCATTACTTGCAAATAGCTCCAAAGACGAGTTATCCAGAATTTTTTTTAATAGTTTCAAGATGAAAATTAAAGAAAATATGATTGCAGCATATACTAAACTAATTTCACTTCTAGCTGAGTTCATGATGCTACAGTGCTGGGCACTGTATGTAAATACACAGCTAGATGGATGTATGCTATTGAGCCTGGGTACAGATGCAATGTAGCCAAACAACAGTTCTGCTCTTACCACATCTCACTTTTGGAGGAATTGTTTTCATTTTCCTGTTTGTTTGCTAACCTGTTTTGATCATTTGTTGGAAGCTGTAATTGCAGGTGGGAACATTTTGAGTAACAGTTCACAATTCAGTGTAGCCGCTTTTCGCACAGAATCCTGTTATTAAAAGGCTCAGACTAAGATCAAGCCAAGGCTATAATGGACTTGACAGAGAACAACTTAACTTTGCCTGGTAGGACAAAGAAAACACTAGCCTTCTTGAGACTGTGATTTGTTCTGAAATATTATTAGCATTCTTTTATTTTATTTTCATTAACAGCTCTGTGAACTAGATCATGAATCTCTAAATCAGGCAATGAGGAAAGGTATGAGACAGATGCACCTTTTATAGTAATTTTAGTGAGGATAGGAATTACGATCCTGTTCTCCTTATTATATCAGAACTTGGCCTTTTTAACAATATGAACCCATCCATTCCCTCTCATCACTCCTGACATAATGAAAAACTGAGATGAGAAGAAGATGCTGTGTTTAGAAACAGTTAGGTACAAGATACGTACTCCAAAAAAGATTGATCGTTAGATACTGGAATTTTTGCATAGTGTTACATTTTTTTGGGAGATAGGTATATTCCAAATTGAGTGCAATTTTATGTTCACTTGTGCACACGCTACCACACTTAAATCATTATAGGGGCTCAAAGGCTTCATTTTTTCCGATGGGCACTAGGTGTCAGGGTTTTTCCTTCTCTGCAGCTTAGCATTCAGACAAGCCTCTTGATTTGCCTTGTTTGGTGAGGCAAATCCAGCAATATCCCCCCCCCCCCCCCATTTTTTCAGTTGGATTGGTAGGCTTTGCCTCATGTTCCTACAATATACAATTGCATTTTTAACTCTTTGGGGTGGAAATCTGTTGAATTTTACATCATGGCTGTACACGTTTTGATAGGAAACAATTTTTAGAAAGAGGATGATCGAGGGGGAAAAAAGTAGTGTAAATTAAAGACTAGCTACTATCATAACTGGTATCTTGGTTTTAGTTCCGTTTTATATTCTTAGAGGTGAACTGTTGGGGATCAGGAATTCTAGAACTGCTCAGCCTTGCCCATATGTAATTGTTGACCATGTGCTGATGTCCAGTCTCTTTAATATTTTACTATAAAATATTTCAAACATACAGAAGAATATGGAGAGTGTTATGACAAATACCTGTACATACCTGACCAGCTTAAACAAATCTTACCATTTTGACACTGTTCCTTACTTACATGTTGCTATGATCCTTTGGAATCTCTAATTTGAGTATAAAATAAATTAGCCGTTGGGTAGGGAAAGGATGTTTGGTAAGCTTACATAAACCTAAAAGATTGGAAGAAATAGATTCATCTTGACAGTTACACAGAGGACCTCTTATTTTAGAAAAACCACCATTACCCTCTGTCTTAATTCACTTGGTTGACATTTTCCATACTCTCAAAGGAATTGCTTTGGGTTATCCTGGATTCAAATTCTATTGGAACCCATTATGTTTAGAAATTCTGGCTGCAGAGAGTATGTATATGTGTGTGGGCTTGAATAAGGAAAGTGTTGACCATTTCTCTTGTGCACAGAACTCAAATATTTTTCTAGTTTAACATTAGACTTTTGTGTATTGTTTTACTCTATTTAACCTCAGAATAGCTCAGT